TACAAACAGATGCTTACATTCTGTGCATTGTATATTAAATTTAATCGTTGAATCTCTTTAATTTGCTCTATAATTTGTGTGAACAATAACTGACTTTTCTGTTTCTCCTTTGAAAGCATCTTGGCTAAATAATTGTTATTGTTCTTCAATTTCTTATACACTGGAAGGAAATAATTTTATTAATTAAATATCACAATATATCGAGAAAAATAAGACAAAAGGCAAGAAAAAAAATTTAATTTTCTCACGTAATCTATAAGATTGTTCATTGTGATGTCTGTGCATCCTGTTAGTAAGCACACCAATTCTTTTGGTCTTCGCCATGTTATAATTACTGTTCAATATCTCGTCTAACGAATCTGTATGGAGACAATAAAACGAAATGCGTAGAGACATACAACTATCTCACATATTTATCCTGAAAATTCTATCGTTTTTTTTTATTTTAACTTTCTATATGCAATCAAATAATTATCCGAAACATATCCAAATTTATGAAAAATTACTCAAAATAAATTTCATTATCATACTTTAATATTAATAAAAATTAAAAGTTTTAAATTAATAAAAATACAATGCGTTTTCCTTTCTCTAGGAACATTTACTTTGTACCTCTTTGACTTTCTTCTTCTTCTTACTCCTTTCTAGCCACGACTTCCTTGCAGAGCCATTACGTTCTCTGACTTTATTAGCATATGAACAAAAGAAGTGAGAAACTAAACCATAGACATAGTATAAATAGATTGAGCATGTGCCACGAGACTTGATCCGAACATAAGAAAAAGAAAGAGAGAAAATACACAACTCAAGTTTTTTTTCTCTTATTTTCTATTTATCGGTAGATTGGGATACAGTTGCGTACCAAATTCTAAGCTATATTTCGATATATGCCGCCAGTACTGAACATCTACAGTATATATAATGTGAATTAATCAACATAATATGTGTGTGTGTGTGTGTGTGTGTTTAATTGATATATATATATATATATATATACACATATATGAATATATATTATATGAATATATATTATTCGAAACATGGCTTAAAATATGGATGTACTAGAAGGATTTGAACAATTTTACGAAAAAAATTGGAATGGCTGCTTTCAGATTTCTCTGATTATAGCCTTAAAATTCAAGTAAACAAATCTACCAAATCTTTGTAAGCATAAAAATATATTTGACACCATGCAGTTGCTAGAAAAATATTTTTATTCATTTCCTCTTACTATGTTTTTGCATTTAAATAGAAAAGAAAAAAATTACAATATGTTCACAAAATTGATTTGTCAATATTATTCACAAAATAAAATTCGTCATGTATTTTTTAAAATAAAATGAGAATCTCTAAATACTTTGATAATTTTAAGATAGAAATATTTCAAAATTCAGAAATATACGTAGTCAATATCTTTTTCATATGCAATCATATGAGAAAAACTTAATATTTTAAGTTAATTTAGAACAGAGATTATAATTTATAGAAACATGTAATTATTTGATCAAATACAAAAGAATTTATTTATGTTCGAGAATAGTCATGCAAGTGGTCTTTTGTAAGCCTGTAATTTATCATGATCATATATGGAATGAATCTTGTCGTACATGTACTTAAAGAAATATAAGAGATTATCATACTGTCCATTGTATTTCTGCATTATTTCAGAACAATCTTCCATTTCTTCACTGTTATTTACAAAATTCTGTCCTCCATTCAAAGAACCATCTAAATCAGCATATTCTTCTACTGCCCCAAGAGCACATGTATGTAATTCCACTAGAAATTGATGAATCGCTTCAATTGTTGCTAGAAACCATCTGGGGCTCTTTTTCTGATGACGCCAAAATTGAGAAAATCTCGATCTTAATGTGATGCACTGTAATTCTGTATCAATATATCATATAGAAATTAGTAAGTTCTTTAACAGTGTTTAATATGAAAGGTGCATATAATAATAATCTGCATATAAAAACTAAACAGACTTCTTTTTCTTATGTACGTATACCTCTCAATCTTTGGTCTTTATATATCGCTTTGGTTTGCTGCCATGTGCTATCAATGAAAATAGCCCTTTTTATAGGAAATATAGTCTTGGGCCTCATTGCTGAAGCATCACATTTTTCTTGTTCCTTTTTAAAGAAAGCTTCAACACTTATAGCCTTGGCATCATTGCTGGGAAAAATTAAAACAGTCTAAGAGATGATATCTCTTAAGTTAAAAATTACATTCTTAAGAATTGCAGGGCTTAAAAAAATCGTATGTTTTCTCTTACTTCTTCTTTATTTGGTATTTCTGGAAAATCTGGATATGTATAAATTTTTACATCATCTGGAGCAAGTATCGCGGCATGGATAGCTGTACTTTTGCCATCTATCTCACGAACATGTTTAATGATATCGATTTTAATTGGCAGCTGAAAAAAGCAACAAAATTAATTATAATGTAGAGAAAAAAAATAATATAGACATGTCTGAAATTATTTTTAATTAATTACATATTCATGAGAATCGGTACCTTCACTCGTGGAAAATATGAGTCTTCGATGACAGGTAAGCAACAGGTGTAACAGAAGAATTTCCGCGATTTGCAACAAAGTTTGCATTTTGTTCTACCGTCGATTGTGTCCAATATCTTGGCATCTTTAATTTTCAAACCTCGAAACGGAGCTCTGTCGATCATCTTCTGTTTATTTTCCAACTCCAACAATTTATCATTAGTTTCAACTGTGCATTCCGCCATATTTTCAATGACTGAAATATCATTGTACGTTTATAATCTTCTTTGTATTTAGTTGCGCCTGTTCTTTTACAAGAATAATACAGCTAATTTCAAATTAAAAGTAGCAAACAATTCAATATTATAAGTATCAAAATGGAACAAAACAGAAAAACAAAGGCATACCTCACTAAAAATTATATGAGACCGAGAAAACAAAAGGACCCATCTGTCTTATCTTTTACACTCATTCATAATAAGAGAACGTATAAAATTGATATCACGAAATAAGTCAATGTAGATTCATTTAACATGGCGAGTATGAATCATCCAGCAGAAACAAGAGATCAGATGTTATATTTGTTTTTTCTCCGTTTCATAATCATTTTGATTAGTATAGTGTGCATTAAATTCGCATTTTTAATTGTTACGTTCTATCCAATGACATTTGCATGAGAAAAATTGATAATCGCATGACCAATACGTTTCAAAATACCGTAGTACTGTCTATCTATAGTTCATGTCACGTATTCTATAGTTTTCAGTGCTGTCATTAGAAGATTTCCAGAAAAGTTATTTTTTATTGCTACGCTGGATTACATTTAGAAATAAAATAATAAAATCTTTTTTTTTTCGAATTTCTCAATCTTCGAATATATATCTATATTATTTTAAGTAACAATGAGTGTATTAGTTTAATTATAAAAACAGACATAAAACACTCTCAGACATTATTATGGCTTATTCCGAATCTTCTCTTATCGATAAAAGTAGCTTATAAAATCTTTTTGGCTATGTCACTTTTAGAGGCACTTTTATCGATAGAAGAGAATTCAGAATATAGGCCACTGTCACATGATAGGCTATTGACTAGGGAAATTCTGGAGTTTCAGAAAATACACTATCAAACAGCCAGTCATAGATCTGTTCTTTTCAGACGAATCTCTAGCACAGTTCATCTTTTTTCTTTTTCTTTTCATATTAGCGAGAAAAAGAGAAAAGATGAGAAAATCAGCTAAAAGAAGGCCTAAGTTCAAGAAGTTCAATTAAAAAGAAGCCTTGTGTTTCAGAGTATTTTTTATTGGAAGGCTCCCATTATATTTCAGATCGAATACAACGCAGAAGTTGATTGGCTATTATTATTCCCTTTGCCACGCGATGCTGCGTGCGAAACCTGTTGGATACCATTAGATGTACGGCTACCTAGGTGGAATGTGCGAACATTTGCAACGAGATACAGAGAATGTGATTTTTTTTTAACTAATTAAATACTCTTACAAAGAGCCTAAGAAAATAATAAATCCAAGCACTTCTCTCACAAATGTGAATCCACGTAGGATATCGTGCGTCCGATACGCACTGAGGCCTCGAGGGTATTTTCGTTCTCATTGCCGAGGATGTCCCGTTAATTCTACGTTCAGTATTACAGTTCTCAGAGTATTCATTTCACGCCTGTTGCGCGCTTTCACGACGCGTCACGTCAGCTTTTCGCAATCGCGCTCGCGGATACGACGCAAGACCGCTCGCGCAAATTTGCGACGCGTGATCGTACGACGAAAAAGAGAGAAGAAAAGGGGGAAACAAAAAGAAAGAGGCACGATGATATGACAGATAAAAAAATATAACCTGTAGCTTTCCGACGAGGTTAAAGTCCAGTCGGTACGACCCCGCGACCTCCTATACCAGCATCTGTCATGACTTATATAATGAGTCACATGTTTATATAGTCAAAATTACGCCGTCGTGCCAGTTACTTTTGTGAAAAATTTATATTTGTATAACGGTGAGTGTGTGTAATTTTCTCGATGTACGAGACGCGAGATTTCGGAATCCTTCATACCTGACACGAGACGTGATTGTGTGTTTTTTAAGTTTATCTCCGGATGGAGAATCAGTGCCTTTAACACGACTGCTGAGTTATATAGCACCACGAGACGAGATGCCTTTAACACGAGATTCGTGTTTTGACGTGGTTAAGCCACACATTCTTGCTTTTTGATTTACTGAACTTGTCTCGACTTTCGTGTGATCCTCGCACGCGGTTTAGAATGTCATTTAACATTTGATATTAGAATTATTCATGTATGTCTTTTATTTCAAATGTAGATTTATATCAGACGGAACACAGTACACATGTTTTGCAATGGATTCTCGAGATAAGACATATTTATAGGCCGATATTCGTAATCTTATATTTAAGATCGTCTTAAGATATTTCAACTAATAAGCTAACTGTATGAGCTTATTTGAGACAATCTTAAGAACGAACTGTGAACACCTCAGAATAAATATGCAATTTTTGTTTGAAACTTTAGACCGAGATTTATAGGTTGGTATTCACAGTTCTTATATTTTCATCTTAAATAAGCTCATAAAGATATCCTATTGATTGAAATGTTATCTTAAGATGATCTTAAATATAAGAATTGATTGTGAATACTGACCATAAAAATAGTCATATTTATATTGAAAGTCACAGAGTTCATATATTATATATTCCTTTTTTTCACGAAACAAATATATTTGTAGACTCATATTCGATCACATCTGAATCATGTCGCAATACGAAGATATTTTGGAAGTCAAAGAAAAGGAAGATAATTTGCCAGTAGACTTGGGAGGAATACGACATCGTATTCCATGGAGCGATCGGATCTTGTTAAATAGTGAAATACCTGGTTTACATGAAGTTAAAGAACTGTTGGAGGATGATGATGCAAGTTGTTTGGCGGAAGAGGAGGATGGAGTTGGATGTCCATTGCCTTCGACACCGGAAGATGATCATCTCCTGGATTGTGAGGTATATTTATATTCTTTCTTGTTACTTTAAAGTATCATGTATAATTAACAATTGGTTAAATATTCATTATTTATATTTCAGATGACTGAAGTATTGAAAGCAGGTGTACTAAGCGATGAAATCGATCTAGGTGCACTAGCACATAATGCAGCGGAACAGGCTGAGGAATTTGTTCGAAAGGTAAAAAGATATAATAATCTTATAAAAAGATAATTAGATTAAAAAGTGAAAGTGTAATGTGGATATCAATGTAAATTAAAGATTGAACTTTGTCCTTGATATATAAAATATACAGATATGATATATAAATTATACAGATGTTATAGCTTAATTTTGAGCTAATTTTAGTGAATTATTAAAAATGGAGATAATCTCATTTTCTACAAATATGACTGATTCTAAATCTTAGAATTGAATAAACTGTTCATAATTGATTGGTAAGTCAAGTAAGACCAATATGATAAAAATATGACAGTCACTATGATAAAAACTAATTATAAGAGCACCAAAAAAGGAAAACAGTAAAATTTGCAAGTCAAATGATAGAAGTTAAGATGTACAACATATGAGCAGTTGAAAGTTTAAAATATATAAGAATATGGTCAATGTCGAGATAACGAAATAATAGTAAAAAACTAATTAGCAATTAGAATTAATCTACATTATAATTTGGTATTGTTAATCAGCAAGCTTAAAACTGGAAATTTTATTCATAGGTATGGGAAGCATCGTGGAAACAATGTCATTTTAGAAATCTACCAAGATGGTTGCAAGATAATGATTTCTTACATGCTGGCCATAGGCCGCCATTACCTTCATTTTATGCGTGTTTTAAAAGCATTTTTCGAATTCATACAGAAACCGGCAACATCTGGACACATTTATTAGGTATGTTACTTTTCAATAATACAATATTAAATTGCACTAAATGTATCGTTGTGCACTTTCTCGAAAGAAGCATATATAGCAAATTCTTTTTCATATTCCGTAACTTTTAGTTATCAATTTCGCTCATAATGTTTTTTTTTTCTTTACAGGCTGTGTTGCCTTTATTGGTATAGCTATATTTTTTCTAACACAACCTCCTATAGAAATTCAATTGGAGGAAAAATTGGTATTTGGTACCTTCTTTGCTGGTGCTATAATTTGCCTAGGAATGTCATTTGCCTTTCACACAGTTCATTGCCACAGTGAATGCGTGGGAAAGCTATTTTCAAAGCTAGATTATTGTGGCATAGCTATGCTTATTATGGGTAGTTTTGTACCATGGCTTTATTACGGATTTTATTGCGATTATCAACCTAAACTAATTTATCTATCAGTGGTGGTTGTCCTTGGTATAACCAGTATCGTAGTTTCATTATGGGAGCGATTTGGCGAACCAAATTATCGTCCACTCAGAGCTGGAATTTTTATGGGTTTTGGCCTTAGTGGGGTAAGTTATTTTAATCATTTACAAAATGTAACTAATAAACTTAGAATAGTAATTTGAATTTTGTATCTATCTAAAAATATCTTGATATATATTGTTGCACTTTTAGGTAATACCAGCTGTACATTATGCTGTAGCTGAGGGTTGGTTCAAAGCAATTAGCCAAGCATCCCTCGGATGGTTAATCTTAATGGGATGTTTGTACATATTAGGCGCGTTATTCTATGCTTTAAGGGTACCTGAACGTTTTTTCCCAGGAAAATTCGATATTTGGGTAAAAATTATTCAAATACTATTTCAAAGATATTTGATTTCAAATTATTTTGATGTTCTACATATAAATATAGTTTCAGAGTCATCAAATCTTCCATGTATTAGTGATTGCAGCTGCTTTTGTTCATTACCACGGCATTACGGAAATGGCAATGCACAGAATGACAATAGGCGACTGCACCAATCCATCGCAGGTGTTGGCTTTTTAAATCTGCGGGCATATACTTTCATCTTGTTGATAACTTTCATGTCTCATTAACCTATTAAAAAGACTACAGAAAGATTCCTAAATCTTATGCCAGCATATTTGTGCTGTTAAGAGATATGAACGCGTGTAAGATAAAACAAATGCAATTTAATTCCAGATTTATGTATTTTAGACTGTTTGTTTATTTAATTGAATTTATTTTAATTTTTATTTTTAAAGATGGTTATTTTTTGAAGACATTTGTACAATTGAAAGTTAGTTGATATTATTAAGTTTAATTGAAATTTTTTTTTTATTACAATTTGTATATATTAATATGTGATTGATATACTTCTTTATAATTGAGGAAATTAGACATTATGAAATCTTTTATATACAAAAAATTTGGATATTCACATAATCACATTGAAATGCAGTATTCGAGCTGAAGTTCATTAAATTTTCCTAAATGTAAAAGTCTACATATCATTTTAAAAGATGAATATAATCTACTGAATTTGAATATTATTAAAGGAATTTCAACAGAGGTATACAATGTAATCTCAAATGGCCATGTATTACTTATTCTCAGATTTTTGAAGAAATTATCCTGGAAATTGTATAAATATTTATATATCTTTTTATTTATTTCTCTCTTCATTCATTTGCCTATGTATATTATATCTATAGTTAAATAATACTTAAATAATTATAGGTAAATCATTTTAATTATTATCAATGATTAAAACAACGAATATTTTCTTTGAATTATTAAAGATAAAGCATTATATTTATTGAGAGCTTTAATAAGAAATAAATATTTGTTTCTTTTATATATACTTGGTAAAATTTATATACTTGATATAATATGCGAGACGAAACACAGACAATAGGCAACGAAATGCATATGTGACTAAGATTTAGGAAGTTGCTATATGAACGATTTTATAGCATAAATACTATAAAATCTATAATATATTTTGAAAAAAATCATTGTTAAAATAATATATGAAAATTTGTTTAATATATAATGCTATCATTATATATATATATATATATATATATATATATATATATGAAAAAATACGTAATGTATCAATCTATAATTCTTTCAAATGCATTTTTATTTTCCAATTTGTATACGTGTTCATTTTTATACCATATTCGATATACGTTTTTGTACATATTATACAGTATTGTGTAGATATGTAGACAAGTCTTTTTATTGAAAGTACGATATTAGCTCTGAAGTATGTTCCAGAGCTATTGATGAGTAGTGGAGAAAATATTTAAAAAAATAGATAGGTAGAGATATGCATAGATAAATAAGATGCGGACACGCAACGGAACACAAACAAATGCTAATCTGAATGAACATTAACAAATGCAATATTTAAATGATAGTTAAAATAATCCTTTGATAATGTAATGATGTAATGACATCGACTTTGACATGAAATTTTGACATTGAAATTTTGAATTGCGTCTGATGGATTTTGATTTGAAAGATATTAAAAACATTAAAATTTGATAAAAATCACTTTCTCTATTTTAATGCAGCTTCGGTGATAGGTGTTATTTTACAGCATCTTGTAAATTTATTTTTATTTGATAAGATAATAATCGCCGATTAACTTTGGTTGACTTAAGAAACATACAAGATGTATAACATTTTAGTTTTAAATTAATTACTCGTTTACTTCACTTTGCTTTATCTCTTCTAGATTTTTCGAAGTCATTAAAAGATGCGTATTTCGATTTTTGCCTAATTTTTAGATAAATAATAAGCCAAGAATATTATTCGATGTAATAAATCAAGAATATTATTCAAATAATAGAATGTGGCATATTTCCAAATTTATTTTGAAATGAAGCAATACACATGCGCACGTGTTATATTCACATATATGTGTGCAAAAATAAAAATAGATTCAGACATAAACGGAAATAAAGAAGGAAGCAAATGTGAAGAGAATAAGGAACAGAAAATTATTGACTAACGAAAAAACACTTTGGTGTTTTTTGATGAATTATGTATTAAAGCACATGTGAAGCATATATTTCCTATATATTGAAGTTTAATTCTATGTTCCTAATTTCCCATGTTTAATTCTTTGTTTATTCTTTATTCTTTTCATTTTGCCCGAATTCTGAAAAAGGGAAATAATATTTCTAATATATAATAACCCAGATATCCTGTTTTGCAAAGTACTTGCTACATATCTTCTTTTGGTAAAAATATATAGTAAAGTTTGTGTTTGCGTTAGATATGACGACAGATTGATAGCAGAAATTAAAGTCTGATAATTTTGATGTATTTATCACATAGTTTTACGCGAACTGACAGGCATCTACTCTTCCTAATAATTTTTGAGATTTTTCAGATTATAATTCTATTTAAAATAATTTTTGTCAGATCATATCAACAGGTTCTACCGAGAAAGTACAAGCAATTCGTTTTCTGAGAGAAAACGATACGTATAAATGGAATTAATGTATAGCAAACACTTCTTAAGATTCGGTCTCAAAATGTCAATTCGAGAAACGCGGTTTCCCAAACGAGAAGCGAAACCCGTTCGGGCTCTCTTTCTTCGCCGTGCGGAGGGAGCGGGGAAAGGTTCATTCGCGGTCTCACCCTTTCGCAACGTCGTCAAGCCGGTCGCGGAGGGCGGGCGGGGGGCCGGGGAGGGTACGGCGGGAGTAACATAAAAGTGAAGCGGCATCGAGGCGGAGAGAACACTCGGCAGTAAGAGAGAGAAAGAGAGAGGACGGGCGTTGAATTTCTCTCCTTCGCCCTCTCCCTCCGCGACCGCACACGTCGGTCGCACGACACACGATCGGACGTGATTGGGGGGCAGTCGCGATTCACTGACGAGTTCGTCAACCTGTGTCAATCCCTGCGTCATCGCGCGAAGCGAACACCTCCTCCCGTTAGTGGAGTACGAACAAGCGACCGCGAGAGGGGGATTATCGGCAACACGAGGAGGGTGTGAGGAAGTCGATTGTCCTGAGACGACGGTGCAGTTTCATTCGACGACCAGTCGTCTCGGTTTAAAGACCCGGAGCGGAGGTCAAGAGAGTAGATAGAAATCGATCATCGCCTGACTGCATCACGAATCATCGACAACGAGGCACAATGTGCGTCCGCACGTTGATGGAGACCAGCGAGCTGATTGCACCATCCGTCGGGACGGATTTGAAGCAGGACGAAAAGCTGTCCCGCGCTAAGGAAAAGTACATGAAGCTTCACGATGAGATGCTGAAGAAGGAGGAGCTGCAGCGTCAGCAGGAGCAAGCGGAGGACGCGCTCTACTTACCTGACCTCGCTGATGGTGTCCTGGTCGCCAGCACCGCTCACTACAATCTGCTGCTGAAAAAGCTGTCCATGTACTACAACGTTGCGCGCCGCTCCAAAGCGTTCAAGTGAGTATAGACTATCCTCCCCGGTACTCTTCATTCCCTAAGGATTCATCCGAAACGAAGAGGTGATTCTTTTTTCATTCGAAGATATTTCGATTTTCGAAATATCTACTTGGACCCTCGTCTCGTCGATTGTACTTCGTGTTCACCAGCGACAGTTCTGCACAGGCAGATTTGGATTCTATGGAGGCAGGCTAGGCACACGTGAGCTCCTGAAGTCAGATCGAGGTCCTTGCGTTTGTGAGGATCTCATGTACACGTTACGATTTGCAGACGTAATGCCTTGGTAGATCTTTCGTGTTTGCTAATTTGCGTAGGCGAGAGTCTTGTATATTTATTTTATTTGCATACATACGGTTTTTGATACGAGACCTACATACGTTCAGGCTTGCTGAGACTTGCTGTCGGGAAGTTCCTATACACGGAAAAAATAGTTTTCCCGAAATATCTAAAAAAAATTGATCAAATATAAATTTGAAAATAATTTTGTTAATGAAATAATTATGTAGTTCAAATTAGTTGCTAGATTTAAAAAAAATTTTTGCAATATTACATATTACATCTTATATAGTAATTTTGATGGACGAATAAAATTATTTTTAAGTCCATATCTGGCCAAATTTTTAGATACTTCGAAAGAAACTCGTTCTTTTAGTGTATTCATTGATTAAACACGAGTTGAGTCTTCGAAATGATAAATTTTTAATGATTAAGAATTTATCTCTACAGCTTTTTCTTTTTTGCCTCTGTACTTTAGATATTTCTTCAACGGGTCTTCACGTTACATCAAAATTTATGTAGGATATTCAAATTATTGAAATATCAAAAATTTTTGCATTATTACGTATCATCATATTCAAACGTTCTACATAATTATTTTGACGAATCAATAACAAAATTATTTTCAAATCTGTGTCTAATCAAATTTTTAGATACTTCAACAAACCCGTTCCTTCCATGTAGCAAATATAGAGATATGCAGGATGTCATTATTATAATGTCCTCGCATGCAACTTTCTTGCAAGTGGAAGTCGGTTTCGCGATTGTCGTTTTCGCATTCTCTCGTTATATCTCATCACGATTGCTCGTTACTCGAGACGCATATCGGTATCAATGGACGCGGATATATATGTAACATAACACAACATATGGAAATAATCTACATCTACATCTATCTTTACGCATTTCCTTGGAGGACGAAGGGGGGAGAGAGAAGGTGGGAGAAATATAATTCTTTTTAGATAACACACGTTTGTCCCAACGCTTTGTGAAAGGTCGCTATTAACATATGTCGAGAGTCAAACTTAACTTCATTTGTTAGTTATTCGTAGTGGTGTATCAATATTGTATAATATATCGATTGATAAAGAATCATCTCATGTCTTGGAGAGCAAAAGTTCGTTCCCGACGATGAAAAGTCAAAGTACGATAGGCAGTGTTAATTTTTTTTCTTTACGTAAAAGATTAGTTTTTAACCTACACCTAAATGTAAGTCTCATGATATCTATATCTAATTTTCTGCGTAAAGATAATCGGGGAAAAAAATTAACATCGTCAATTAAAGATAATTTAATTTAATTTTTTCTCGTAGTTTTTTCTCTGTAGTGATGAGATAATCGTATGTGAAGATAATCCTATGATTGTTTTCAGAAACTAGCAGAAAGTCCAAAACTTTAACTTTCTCTCTCTCTCTC